CTTCTTTTCCACTGTCAACGGTCACTTAGCTGTGAGTCTCTGAGGGAACTTATTCATTCACCTTTTACCTTTTGTTAAGTTATTTACAATGATACGATGTCTGCTCTATTAGATGGTAAATTCATGGCTAATTTAGCTTTACTTTCCTACTACCTAGCCCAAGGTCTTACATATAACAGGCATTTAATAAAAAAAATTAATGTAGTAATGTATTCATGCTTGACTAAAAGATAAATGTATCCAGTTGTTTTCTCTTCATTTTCTCCCTTTGTTTCTTCCATCCTTTCTTCTTTCCCTGTCTTCCATTTTTCCCCACCTTCCACTTTCACTTCATTTTTCTTTCCTTTCTAACAGAGGAGGCCTGTGCATGCATGTGTAAAAGAAAGATATGTGTGAAATTAGTAGAGATTGAAGAACCTAGATAGAGAAAGAGAATAAAAGTGATACAGAAATAAAAACCATGACCCAGATATTAGAAAGTGAAAGAAACAAAGGAAAGAAAAGATAGGAGAGAGAAGAAAAGACAGAAAGAAAGAAAACTTAACACTCTCTCTGAGGCTAGAGGGGCCAGACCAGGATCTCAACATAAAATCTGAACTGAACTTATAACGGGTATTATTTCAATGGTGTTTTCCTAGATGTAGAAGTAGAGGATTGTTTAAATTCCTGCCATTCCTCTACACTAAGAATAGATTGAAAAAACAAACAAGAATCAAATTACCATAAACATATTTCAAATATCAGTGAACAAGGGATTATATCCAGAGGGGGAAAAATACAGGGGGTTTGTGTAGTTTCTGTTTTGGAAACCAGAAGTCCATGAAACGACTATCTGTATTCATACTAGCTCTCAGAACTGATGAACATTTTTCTGCGGACTGTTAAAGCTTTTTGAGTCCTCTAGGCATCCTGCAGGTTTCAATAAAGGGAATCTCAAGAATCTAAAGAGAATTATAACATTTAGTATGTTTAAAATGTACTAAAGAGAGTGGAAATTTCAAGGAAGAGGATAATAGCTACTTGCCAAGGCAAGACATAGGACATCTTGGTGAATTGAAAAAGTTTCAGTTATCTGGTTAGCACTTTGAAGTCTCTCAAACTTGACTTTGTGCCCTAATAGCAGAGTCATCTCTTAAGCCAAACTCACATTAACCAAACTGATAACACACAAACTTATTTACTAGAGTATGAACTTCTCAGAGTACATTGAGCAATGTAATTGTCAAGGCCCCAGACATATGTGTCCTCTGCTTGATACTTTGTCTCCTTGCAGGCAAGCTCTGTGGGATGATAAATTGTAACTAGAATTTTACCTGATGTATTTGGAATTAGAGCCAGCAGAGTGATATGTAGGGCTCAAGGGTTTGGTTTTTTTTTAATATTTTTATTTTTATTTATCTTTTTAATATTTTATCTATTATATTATTTAATTATTATATTTTGGCAGGGGGAGGTAATTAGTTTAGTTATTTTTGGAGGAGATACTGGAGATTGAACCCAGGACCTTGTGCATGCTAAGCATACACTCTACCACTTAAGCTATACCCTCCCCCCTATCAAGGGTTTTCTAGAATGCATTGACAATTGTCCAGTGCACCTACATCTTTGAGAGAAATCTGCTTGTCACTAGGATTTCCCAGGTCCCATGGACTTGATATTATTCTTCACTTGAATTCCTGTGGGACTTTGTATTTATACCATATTTTTATGTTTCTCAATATCATTATATTTACGTAATCTTTTATTCTCACAAAAAAAGTATTTACATAAGTTATATCATGATCTCCATTGCAGTTCATGTTAACATTATCATCTACATTTCACAAGGAGGGAAACTGAGGCTCAAAAGTGTTAAGTGACTTGACCAAAGACCGTATGGATACTGATGTATGAACCTTTGAAAAGAGTAAGAACAGCATATATTTTTATTGTCCCCAAAGTAGCACTCTGTAACTGAGAGGCACTTGTAACATATTTGTAGACAATAGTAGCTCGTAGAAATATGTAATAACAAAACTGATACGCTTGCATATTTATAGAAATAGTCTTCATTTTACTCAATATTTCACAAGTTTTTCATTCAATATCAAGTTTCCCTTAATGCACTTAAAATGTGACTTGCTTTATAAAAACTGGACCTTTCCACATTTTTAGGAACCCATCCACATTTTAAAAGGTGATTGACTTTGAACTATTTTTGTAGGTGTAAAAATAACAGATAATTTTCTTCTTTGGGGGGGGGCATATCAACTCTTGTTCTTAGTTGCAAACAACAGACTTCACACTAGGAAATTTGAGCAGTAAAGAAATCTACTAATGAATATACTAATGCAACTCGTTCTCCACCCAAATACCACTAAATTCTTTTACTGTGTTGTGTGCTTCACACCCAGATTTTCCAGTAATTTTCTTCCCAGATTGGCACCTGCAACTTTCTTCAGATACCTGCCCAGCACAGAGAGCCCCAGGTGACAGGGAAATTAGGTCTGGAGGGGCAGCCAATGACTGACTGGCTCCCAGGTACGAAAATCGGCTCTCTTGCCTCCAGTTAGGACAAACTTTGGGTATAATTTAAACTCCTGGGAGTTTGCCTAAGATCTCATACATACTTGGCTCCTAAATCCTTCCCTGTCCTGCTCTCTCTGCTTTCTTACTGGTTTCTCCTGGGAGCATTTTCTTAAGAGTCACTTGCACTAAATCCTTGTCTCAGGGTCCCCTTCTGAGGACGCCAACTGTTATTAGGTTGCTAGGGCTGCCATAACAAAATATCACAACTTGGGTGGCTTAACAGAAATGTATTCTCTTACTGTCATGGAGGCTCAAAGGCCAAAATCGAGATGCCAGTAGGGTTATGTTCCCTCTTAGACTCTGGGTTAAGTATTTTCTTGCCTCTTCCCAGCTTTTGGTGGTTGCCATCAATCCGTGGCGTTTCTTGGCTGGCAGCTGCCTCACTCTAATCTCTGCTTCTATTGTCACATGGCATTTTCCCTGTGTGTCTTTTATTTTCTCTCCTTATAAGGACACCCGCCATACTGGATTCTGACCCATGACTTCTGTACATCTGCAAGGACCCTACTTCACAAGTAAATTCACGTTCACAGGTACCAATAGTTAAGCTTTCCCTCATGTCTTTTCTGGGGGACGTAAATCAACCTGCTACAGGAACCTGAGACACATGAAGTCAGGGAGCTCACAGCGGGGGCCAGAGGATGAGTCTTGGAGACCGCACAGCAAGGAACACTGCCCAACCACAAAGGGATGGTTCCCAAGAAGAGCCACTCCTGCTTCATATGGACACCACAGCTTCAGTGGCTGCTGCTGCTGCGTGTGTGAGATTGTAGAACGTCTGCCTTCCTGCCATTGAGAGCCAAGCCCTTCTGCGCTCAGGTGGATGTGAACTCTGTGTACCTGACCCCAGCTTCTCCATGTTGCTTCTTTCAAAGTGAAATCTCAGGCGGGCAAAGTCCAATTCTGAAAGCAGGGTTTTCAGCTTCTATCGTGGGGATGCAGGACTCTTAAGATGAGGAATTCTTCTAGGATGGGAGGAATGTTCAAAATGCGCACTGTAGGCAGAGAACGTGACAAACCACCCCTACAGTTCTACTCAGTGACAAACTAGAATGCCTGAGGATGCATAGAATTTTCTCTGTGTTGTTAGATATGAGTTTAATTCTTTTTTGAAAAAGAAGAAATAAACAATTTTGACTTGGGAAGCTTGTTGTAATTCTTTATACTTACTCAGCATGCAGTTTGACTTACTCTTCCTCATCACTGGTGGACGTTGACTTTGCAGTTTATTATCAGACTAAAGAGCTGTGTGTGTTCAGCTTTTGGCTATGTAATTATTTATTACAAAGTCTTTAAAGATATTTATATTGAAATTATTTGAGTAGGAGAAGAAACGGATTTGAAAAATTTAAAGAAAGGATTTCATGTTTCATTCATGGTTTTTGGTGAAAACTGTGTTTAAGCCTTTTATATAGTCCTTTCTGACGTCTATCTCTAGGTAAAGTAGGAAGATGTCATCTATAAATGCTGTAGTGTTTCAGTGGAAGGGGCTTGGGATCTATTTGGGTTCATGGTGTTGGTTTTGTTTTGTTTTTCATTTCACAGCACACGGTTTGGCAAATGGCAATAAGTATTTAATATTTGTTTATTGAAAGAGAAACTTTAGGATTCTTTGGGTCCTATTTTTTCAATTGAAAGAATTCAAAACTTGTCTCATGGAATTTCTTTGATCGAAATGGAGGTAATTTTTGAACTGTGTCATCTGTCTTGTCCCATACACACACAAAAGGAAATGACTAAGTTTCAGGTTTTGATGGATGTCCAGGCAACTGTGGTCTTATTTTTGTTTAACAGGCAATATTCTGGAGCAGGTGTCACCAAATAATGGCCGAATCTGGCCTACCACCTGTTTTTGTACGATCTGTGAGCCAAGTGTGGTTTTTACATATTTAAATGTAGAACGTAAAAAAGACTGTGAGTATTTCAGGGAGAGTTGAGGACACAGCTTCTTAGCCTGCCAAGCTGAAAATGTTTACTTTCTGGACTATAGTGAAAGTGTGCTGATCCCTGTATAAGAATACATCCAAATAATCTTCTCTGTTAAAAGCATTCTGTTATCCCAAGAAATCAGTGTTAACCAAATGGGTTGCTACATTTTTCACCAAGAAAATCAGACCTAAAAGGAAAATAATTATATCTTGAGAAAATAAACTTAAAATGAAGAAAATATAGTCGGGATAATAAATTAAGACTACAGGATGCTACTCTACTATCTCTTTTCTAGAAATGCAGGTGGAATAACACTGTCCACCTTAAGGCAACAAAATACATACCAAAAAAGTGATTCATTATGTTTGTATAACACCTGTAACTTTTCAAAGCTCTCCCATGATAGTATTTAATGTTTGATAGCTGTACTGTAACACAACTCACTTTTTTTTTATTGTTTAGCACTGTGAAACTCAATTTTGTGTACATTCTTTATCTTTCAGGATGACAGGTATTCTGTTCTGTTGCTCAACCAAGAGACTTAGTTGGAAAACAAGAAATTCCTGGAATCACTACTTGCCTAAAGCTTTTTCTAGCTGGAGTCCGTGCTTGAGGCTCAAAGGTAGGAGAACAGTCTTGAAGTTATCTTTATTGCTTAATTTAGTGAACCAATGATATGGTTTTGAAAAAAATTTTCCTATATGCTCAAAAAAGTATTTTTTGTGTGTAGATATTATGTATGGTGTGAATATAAATATTACCACAAAGATTTTTACACCTGATGGGTAGAGTAATTTAAAACATGGTCATTTCGGTTATCAAGAAGAGAGTTTTGAATGGTGTGTTAAGGAATTCTGTTTGTGACCATTGTCTTATGTTGAAATGGCATGAAGTTCAAAGGCATGCTGATTTGACTTAAATTAGTTGAAGCTGGGAGATTATACATTCGAATCTAACATGTAAGGTGTTTAAGGCATGACTTAACAGCAGCTGGTTTGGAGAAGGCGTCAAGGTTTTAGTTGATTGTTAGCTTAATGTGTGTCAGTGGCATGATGAGGTTGCAAAAGTGTTTGTGATCTTAGGCTACAACAGTTTAGGTCAGGCAAGGTGATGATTCCTCTCTATTCTGTCAAGCCAAAGTTCTGGGTCAAATTCTCAATAACATACACTAATAAGAGTATAGAAGATTAGGAGTGGCAAAAAGGTTTTATGTTTTCTGTCAGTTCTAATTGTTCGTGGCTGCCTAGAGAAATGGGTTAAGAAGGATTCTGAGGCCTTATTCAGGCCCCTTGAGAAATGGCGCTGAGTTTATCTGGCCAGAGATAATACATTATCATTAATATATGTTCAAGATTGAGTGACAAAGGTGATGTACAGTGCTGGCAGAAGAGTTCGGCTCTTCCATCCCCTGCACATTTTTACCTCTTCTCGCTAACAGTAAAGCACCTGTTAAATTTTTCATATGCCTCTTAACAGTGCCATCTCTTAGAACAGAAGTAGGCAAACTATGGCTGGCAGGTTAAATCTGGTCCATTTGCCTGTTTTTATATTTTAAATATAAAATGTCACATTTTGAATTTGTTCTTCAACTTATATTTGGTGGAATCTCACAAAATGCTATAAATAAGTTTCACTTTTGTTGTCTTCAAAATAGTTTATAATTATGCATTTGCTTTGTTTGAGACCAATAGTTTTAGGCGGCTTATGGAGATAGCTCTTTAATGTCTAGTTTTTATAATGTTGATTAATTTTAATATAATTTTGTTTATCATGCTCAGAGGCTATATTCTGTATTGTTAGAGAACATGTTTACTGTTTTGTGGTTTTCTATGTATACTTTCGAATAGAGCTCATTAATGCTTAAGAAGAATGGCTTTATGTAGCAGATGAACATTAGTACATGGTTTTTAACTCAAAATTATTATGTCATTTAATCCTTATTTATTTTAAAATGACTGATCTATCCTAGACAGACAGTGATGTGTGGGAACATCCCACAAGACCATATATATACATCCATTTATCTTTGTAGATCAAAATTTTTTTCTGTGGCCTTACAATGAATTTACCAAGAGGACCTATTGAAGGTAGAAGGATTCTGGTTCTACTTGATCAGCAAAGAGTTAAGAGATGGGCTCTTAACTTGTCTGGCCAGCACAGCTTCTGTCTCTGTTGTAAGATGCTGTTAGTGAGGACTTTGCTTTTACACCAGGTTCACATAGCAAGAATTTGCTTAGCCACTTGCCTCCCTAAAAGATGGAATTACTGTAAATTCTACTTGGGCTTGGGATAGCTGTGTCTTCATGTTTATCTCCTTGGACATTTTTATGGGTGGATTGATGAAGCAAATTTGTTCAACTACATCGTCAAAGCACATATTTCCATTATGTCTCATTGTAGTTTAAAGTAGTTCAGGAAGAAAGTACTCAGTTTAGTTACACCAGGATTTTAGGTAGCTGGTATTCAAATTTCGTTAGTCATAAAGCAGTTCCTCAAATGCCTTTTGAAGCAGGGACCATCATGTAGAACAAACAGATGTAAAGGTGCTTGCTGGTCTAGCAGGGCAAGACGGTAGGACAAAGGATGGAGAGCCTCAGAGATGGGGAGATCTCCAGTACCAAGGAGGGTGCAGGGAAATAGATGAGAATACAGATGCTTCAGACACTTGAAATAAAGATGTGTAGATAAAGATAGGGAGCTAATTAAAGATATGTGGATTATTATAAGATGCCTTAAAGTGTTTTTGTGTAATAGTCAGTATAGAGTGCTGTAAAGGAGCACAGTAGTCATTAAAGATGCACATAAGCCACTCTTTGTTTCAAATGATAGCATCAAAGGGGGTGAAGAATCTTTTATGAGAGTATTGTAAGCATAATTTACTGAGACTACCTGCTTTTAACTGCAGCCCCTAATTAAATTTTAAAATCGGAGAGAATTTCTATTATTTCAATTTTTGCCATAAAGTGAAACATTAGTAATACTATTATGTTGCACTACTTCCACTTAGCACTTTCAATGTATAACACTAGATCACACAATATTAGATATTAAAACTATGTGTTTGTTTTACTTTGACACACATACCCAATTAAGGAAAACACAGTGCTATTTGCTAGAAATCATTCTGCTTCCTACTTTGTAGCAGTTGACCATTTTCCTCACAAAATTATAAAGGGGCATTTTAAAAACCATAAACCTAGACCCCACCAAAGTTTAAGTTTGTTGGAAATGATGCAGAAAATTCCATGGCCAATGACAGCAGAAGAAAAAGGTGACTCCAAGATGGAAGGCTCTTATAAATTAAATTCTTACAAGATATCAAATAGAAATAATGGGTCTATAAAGAATGACCTGCAATGATGTAGTCACTGGGGGAAAAAAACGTTTGAACAAATGATGACATGGAACAGAAAAGCAATATATAAAAGGCCAGTGTCTAAAATGATCTGCAGCTTTCAAAATGCTCTAAAAATAATTTTTGTAAAGAAGGTTTTATGGATTGTTAGGAGGAAAAGGAAGCACTGGGAAGAGATGAGGCTCATGGTGTATCGATAACTAATGACAGTGAGGAAGAAGCTTACTGGCTGCCACCTCTCTTTCTTCCTCCACCAGAAATTGTCTTCAAACTGAAATGGAAGGAGGAAGCAGGATGCCCAGGGAGGGAGTAAACTGACTGTGTGGCGCTCCTTAAAGTAGATTTTCCTAAAGCTTCAGATGGCTTTTGTCCAGGGTGCCAGTTGTGGTTATAATACTAGAATGTATCCCAGTCATCTACAAGGAATTCTGGAGGATGGGAGATGTGTTAGAAAATGAGAACTGAGTAAATCCTGTTAAAATTCTCCAAAGTGTAGAAAAATTCAGATTCTGGAAGAGACAGCCTAATAAGTTTGCATTAATTCCTAGCAAAATCGACTGACTCGTTCTTTAAGTGGCAGATTGGGAGGCTTGGAAAGCAAAGTGTTTTTTCTGCAACCCGCAGTAGAGGTTCTAAAAACAAGTCATACCAAACAAATCCTTTTTCCTTACCTGATAAAGGAGAAAAAGTTAATGTAGTAAAGGGTTTGGGGTTTTGTTGTTGTTATGTTACTGTTTTTAAATCTGTAACAACCATGATATTCTTCTGGGCAATGGTAAAAGGATATATTATAATATCTGTAGAAGCGTATTAACTTTTTGAAAGACAGTATCTAAAGCTTATTGATTACTGATCAGTACTAAAAGAGGTGTGATGGCTAATTTTATATGTCACCTGGGCTAAGGGATGCACAGATAGCTGGTAAAACATTATTTCTGGGTGTGTCTGTGAGGTTGTTTCTGAAAGAAATTGAGTATTTGAATCAGTCAAAGAGTCCATACACTGAGTAGAGAAGATTTGCCCACACCTGTGTGGGTGGTCGCCAGCCAATCCCTCGATGGCCCCAGTAGAACAAAAATGTGGAGGAAGGGTGAATTCCCTTTCTTCTTGAGTTGGGATGTCCTCTTCCTTCTGCCCTCTGATGTTGGATTTCAGGTTTCTTGGAACCTTGGACTTGAGACTTCAGTCCCAGAGTGGGAGTTACACCACTGGCTTTCCCAGTTCTTCAGCTTGTAGATGGCAGATTATGGGACTTAACCAGCTTCCATAACTGTGTGAGACAATTTCTATAATAAATTCTCTCTTATACATATGTATACATTTGTACACAAATATATACGATGTGTCATAAGAGAACTGTATGGTTCTCCCATTGCTTCTGCTTCTCTGGAGAACTTGAGCTAGTGTAACAGGAAAGTGTTCTCTATAGAAATCCATTCATGACTCATTCCCTAGTCATATTATAGTTTGTAATTTTATCAACTACTTAACTGAAGGCAGTGATTGTTCTATGCCCTTGACAGAAAGCTGGGAAGGACAGTTCATTAGACAATAGGATGAAGACTGAAGCATCTCAATCCTGAGTTTTACCACTTGCTGATTACTTGACTCTGACAAGTGACTTACCTTCTCTGAGCATCCATTTCCTCTTCTGTAAATGGGGATAATAATTAACTTATAAGATAATTAATAAACTGATAAAAAATGATACGTATAAAGTACACATGAGAGGGCTTGGCAATTTTAAATGTCCAATAATTGGAAGCTAATGATTGTGTTAGAATTATGGTCTAGGACAAGGAGCTAAAACAGTGGACATGTAATATACCCAGAAGGTAAAGTTCCAGACCTGTGTTTAAAAGAAATTAATTATATAAATACAGGCTGAGAACTTCTGTGTGGAGAAGTCTCAAGAGCTTTACCTGTTTACAAATTCAGTGTCAGCCTCCCAGGTACCACAGTGAGCAAGCTGTCTGCAACTTTATTTTTGTCTCGGGCAGGAGGAACAGTATCCTACTTCTCTTGTGCTAGAGACGATCTCTTGTAAGAGAATTGTTTATTATGAGGGATAATATTTTGAAAAGGACATCGTAAATATAGGTTTGTGGCCAGAGGAGGTCGTTAAGATGATTAAACCTTGTCATTCAATCAGTAATCAAATAAAATCGAGATGTAGATGCTGGAGAGGAAATGGCCTAAGGGGTTTGGACCAGCTGGTCATTTACATACAGTGGAATACCACACAGTCGTGCAAAGGAATAAAGGCT